TTCAAATGAAAAAAAAATAATCGAAATAGATGTTCAAAATAAAGAGAATCCTTGACAGTCTTGTGGTGCAAAATAAGCCCCAATCCAAGACCATCCATTCTTGCATGCATACATACCACTCCTGCATGCATACATACCACATAAGAAACAAGAAACATACCCATAAAATCTTCTTAAAGAAAACAGTAATCAAATAGCATGGAATAAATTGACTTCTTGAAAGCCAAGAAATTTATATACCAAAATCTAAACATTGACATATGTCATTATAAATTCAGCAAATCTGGACTACTATTCTACTATTGGAGTTCAAACCCAGTGCTCAAACAGTGATTACCAATCAAAGACCCAAGTCTCTCTTTCTCCCCAACAGAAGAAAACCCATTAACTCTAACAGAATCTGTAGACAACACCACTGAATCCTGACTACCTGAACTCTCAACTCGAGCTCGAAACCGGTACTTGTTCTCCGAATTTAATGCATTGGCAGCATCAAAATCCTCATCTATCAAAAGAGGCCATGCAGACTGAGGCAAACCCGGTGGCCTCGCATATCTTCCATTATTATTCTCGAACCCACCTCCATTAACAACTCTTCCTTCTCTGTTTTGACCCATCATCTATTGTTGAAGCTGGTTTTGCGATAAAAACAAAATTTCTCTGGTTTGTCTTCCCCAAATCGAAGAAGAGCACTGTTGTTTCATCATTTGCTCATGTCTCGCTTGCTCAAACTGCAAAACAAAACAAAACCCAAAAATCAACAAACTAGATGAGAAGAGGGAACAAGTATATATTGTGAGAGAGGCACAGATTGGCATAGAAAGAGGTGTTGATGTTTTTCAGAGGCAGTGGAGCGAGAGACCAAGGAGGGCCGAGAAGGCCTCTAGCTTTGGGAGGTCCTTCATCGTTCATCTTCAACCTCGCCACTTGTCCCGCGGCCTCGTAAATCAAATCCCAAGAGTCGTTGTTTCCACCCGGCGGCGTAGTCGACGGTGATCCATCGAACTCGGCGATTTACTTTTGTTCTTTACTTTGCTATTTGCGAAAGAGAAAGAAGATAAAAGGCTTTGTGATCAATGATTTGCGAAAGTCGAAGAAAGAAGGGCGTCTGGTGGTGGTGATCAAAATGAGGTAGACAGAGAGAGAGAAAGAGAGAGAGTGAGAGAGACAAAAGTTAAATTTTTCAGATATATGTTTAGGGACTTTAGACATCAAAAAATAATTTTATGGATTCCTTCCATTACGAAAAGTGGGAGAGGGACCCTAGACTAATTTTCCCTTTAATTTTTTGTGAAAGAAAAAGTGAAATGATTATGATTTAAATGTAACATGTTATCTTATTAATTTTTTAATTTATTCTATCCTTTTTTGACTAATTTAATCAAAAAATTTTAAAAAAAAGTCTATTTGCCAAAAGAAGGATACATATTGTTGATT